TAATGATGGACGGGTTGTACTCAACCTGGCGAGATGTGACCAGTGGGGTACCCCAGGACTCAGTCCTCGGGCCCACACTGTTTAACATCTTCATCAGCGACTTGGACAAGGGGGTGGAAAGCACGCTGTCCAAGTTTGCTGATGACACTAAGATGTGGGGTGAGGTGGACATGCTTGAAGGGAGAGGGAGGCTGCAGATAGATTTAGATAGACTACAAAAGTGGGCAGACGAGAATAGGATGGGGTTCAATGCAGACAAATGCAGGGTGCTGCACCTTGGGAGAAGGAATCCACAGCATACATACAGGCTGGGGAGTTCCCTTCTTGAAAGCACAGAGGTGGAAATGGACCTTGGAGTCATTATTGACTCCAAGATGAACATGAGCCGCCAACTCTGAGTCTCCTCTTCTCCAGGCTGAACAGTCCCAAGTCTATAGACTATCCAAGGAAGGAATGGCTAATGCTTATTTCTCTACCATGTGGATGTAGGAACTTTTAACTGTGCCCCACCAGAGCTTTGGGAAATGTCACAACTCTGTTCATTTTGATGGATGTTCTCAGCCTCCTGGTGTTAGTTTGTCCGCTTGCCTTAGTTATGCTCATTAGCAGCATGAGGTGGGAATGGAGATGGTGGAGGAGGTAATCTTTTTATTCCTCTTCTCTTTTTATTTTTAAAGTTTAACTCGGGAAAGGTTTTTAAAAGGTCTTTGAGTGACTGATATCCCATCTCAGCAGTTGTTCTCTTAGAAGGAAGAGAGATCTGGAACCAACTTCCCAAGCAAGTGGTCCTCACCCCTACCTTGGGCAAAGTCAAGAGGAGGTTGGACGATCACCTATCTGGGGTCTTGTTAACCCAGCATTCATGCCTGCCTGTGGCAGGGGGTCAGGCTAGATCAGGGGTGTCCAACCTCTTTGAATGTGAGGCCGGATCATGAACTTTTTACAACCAGTGGGCCGGCAGGAGTGGGCGCTCATGCGGCCTGTCCAGTCCAGCTGCGGCCTGGGGAGGCAGGGGTCAAGGGGCACCGCCTGACCCCGCCGTGTCCTCCCTGCCACCTGGGCGCCCTTGAAGATGCTTCCACATCTGAACACCTGAGCTCAGCAGCCAGGGGGACATGCAGGGACCCTACAGGGGGGTGCAGGATATGCAGGGACACCCTCCTGCTCCCTTTCCCCCGGGGCAGCCTGAGCCCGACCGGTAGGGCTCCCTCCCTCCCTCCCTCCCTCCCCAGGACCCGTGATTCACCACCCCAGCGCGATGTCTGTGGGCACGGTGGGGTGCGGGGAGGCAGGAGTGGTGCCAGCTTCCCACCCTGACAGCCACAGCAGCAGCAGCATCTCCCGCGGGCCTGGCTGCAGCATCCCTCTGTGCCAGCATCTGCACCATGCGCACCCGCCCACCCGCTGCACTGTGACCTGCTCCAGCGGGACCAGCACAGGGCAGGGCCAGCATGCAAATGAGGAAGGGAGGGGCGTGGCTAGTGAAATGAAGGGGGGGGAGGGGAGGAGCCGCACTGCATCGGCAACATCAAGCTGACCATGTTCATTTAGGAACCTTGTCCCTTCCCCAGCCCTTAAGCAGCCATTAGGAAGCTGCTGGGGGAGGGACAAGGGGTGGGAACGAAAGTAAACAGCATTTACTTTTGTTTCCTGTCGCAGCACTGCGGGCGACAGAAAATGGCTTGGCAGGTCGCGTGGCGGCCCGCGGGCTGTATGTTGGACAAGCCTGGGCTAGATGATCTGTTCAGGTCCCTCCTATCCCTAGCTACTATGATACTAAGTGACCTTTCTTACCATGCAGCTTGACCTCCTTCCACATTCTTCTGCTTTTAAAAGCATATCTTTCAGAAAGAGAGCTAATTTCTAATTTGACACGATGGTGAATTCGCCACCTCTTGCAGTAAGCTGTTCCAGTGGTTGTTTATCCTCCCAGCTTGGTTATTGTACGTGATTTGAAGACTGAATTTGTCTACTTTCAGGGCTTTGGTTATTGTTTTGTCTCTGTCAGCAGCCCTCACAACCCAAGCGCATCAAGGTTGCTCAGCGGTTTCCTTTCCAGTATCCCAGATCTGGAGCCTTAATTAAAACTCTTCCACTGGTCTCTGTCTGAAAGGGACAATCAGAGAGAGAGTACCTAGCGTGGCCACTTCTGCTGCATCCATTGTCCATGCACCCAGCATTATCACAACACGAACACGGTTAATATAAAAATATTATAAATACCCCACAGTCTGTCACAGTAGTATTTCCAGTATTGTATACAAAAGCAAGCTTGCTTTTCTACCTGCACTTCATATTCCTTTTCGTATATATATCCGGCGGTCATGTTAGCTCTTTTTGCTACTGCAAACACAGACTTCATGAAAATCTGGTTACCTTTGTTAACTTTCAGATCCTTCTTTATTGCCACTTTTCAAGATAGCTTTCTGTCCTTTAGTCATTATCTGTCTTCCTGGTTTCCAGATGCATTATATTAAACATGTTTTGTTGTACTGGAAACACTTGGACAAGTGTAACAGTAACTTCTAATCCTCTGTATTCAGTTCCCTGCCACTCTGTCACATTTGCAAAATGTATCAGGAGAGTTTGTTTTCTTAATTATAGATCATTGATACCACTGTTAATTAGCATTGTATCCAGAACCAGTCCCTGAGTAACCTGCTAGAAATAGCTGTCTCAACAATGTTATCCCAGTAAAAGACATGTTTTGAGATATATTAATAAGGTAATTTTCTTCCATTTAATGTATATCCTATTAGGTATACTTCTATAAATGAAGCTTTTAAATCAAAATTTCATGTTACGCTTAATCTAAAACTTTTTGAAAAATTAAAGTATAGTATTTCCATATATACTAGCAATCAACAATACTGGAAATCCTAAAACCACTTTGACAAAACCTGCCTTCCGTTAAAACATGCTAGACCGCTTTTAACTGGGTTTTTAACCTCTACTTTTTTTATGATAGCCTAAGATTAACTCTTCCATTTTTTTTTATCTGGGTTCCACGTTAAGCTAGCTGTTCTCTAGTTCTGTGGGTCATCTTTCACTTTAAAATATTGGATCCACATTAACAGTCCTCTGGACCATCGGAATTTCTTCATTTTTTAAAAATTTCTAATATTTGTCAAAATTTAATGATTCAGAAAGCTTATCAGCTAATTCATTTTAAGACTCGTGTATGAACTACTTGAGCCTATTGATTAGAAAATGTCTAATTTTATCAGATCTTTTTCTGCCTTCTTTGCAAGATAGTTAACTTTCTGTTCTATCTACAGTACTTCCAATGCATAAATCTCCCAGTTTCATTCTGAATACAAAATAGAAACATTTCTGCCTTGTAGCATTGTTAACGGTTTTATCTGCATCTAGTGGTGGTCCTGTGCTGTCCTAGAACAGGGGTTCTCAATCCCTGGGCCACAGCCAGACCAGAAGTGGGTATGGACCCGCAAACTGCAGCCCCCCAGAGCCAGACGGAGAGGCTGCGGTTTCTTTTGCAGGGCCCACGGCAGTACAGTGTGCTCTTTTCCGCCCCCCCCCCACCCG